TAAAAGTTGTCCTGAACACGGTGACAGGTTTTGAGAATTTGGGGTTGCAGTGTTCGGTTGGAAGAGGAACTGCCGAGGCTGGTGGAGCCACGAGCAGCTGCCTGATCCCGGGCTGAGCGTGGCCAGAGCTCCCCGGAGCTGGAGGTGACCCCGAGGTGCACGGAGCAGGTTCTGGAATGCGGTGATGGGGATGTGTTTGGAGCTGGAGCACATCAGGGGGAACATCAGGGAGCACATGGCTGGTGTGCAGGAAAGCCGAGGTCATCAACACCTCGGGGGTTTTAGGGAGTTCTAAAGCCCAAACTTCACTCTGTCTGATCTTCCTCTGATAGTATTGGGAGTTTTTCATTCWGTAATTTTCATTCTGGTAAACTCAATAATGTTTAAATTTGAGTTCCTGAAGACCATCTGGACTTTGTGAAGGTGTCTTTTCACTGCAAAGGCAGAGAGCTGGTGTTCAGAGCTAGGTGTCCTGSAATGCTGCAGATGTCTGGGAGCAGACAGCAGTTTTATCTCAGGATCTTTGGGGATAGCTGGAAAATAAAGCACAGGATGGGTGGAAGTCCTGAGGTTTTCAGTGTTGCTGTGACTGTCAGTGTTTGTTTTAGACCTACCTGAGGTGTGAATGTGGTGGTTGTTCAGAGCCCTTTGCACTGTGTGTGGGGGAATTGGGGTTTCCTTCAACATCCTTCAGCTCCAAATCTCTGCASCAATGGCTGTGTAAGGTTTGTGCTGTTTCATACCTTGATGTTTGGGGTAGGCTTTCTTTCTCCCTTGCAGCCAGGACCTGTGTGCTGTTGRCAATCAATAATTGGGTACATTGTGAATATTATTAAATGCATGGAGAGAAATGGAATTGATAATGGCTGCTGGGCCTGCTGTGGGCTCCACAGAGATGGGTACGTGCTCCTAATTCCATATGTTTGTAGTTTATTGGGGTAGTAGAAATCTGTGTGTTTCAGGTGGGTGAAATGATGTTTCCTGGTTAGAAATCCAGRGCTGTGGGAAGCCCTGGGTGTTGTTGGCTCTCTGTAGCAGGTGAAGTGTCCTTTGTCCCCACACTGCCCCATTCACAGCCCTGTGACACCGGTGTCACCTTCATCCAGCAGAGCTGTGCCTTGGCTGTTCCCAGGGATGGAGGAGCCCCTGGATGGAACCCCTGCAGCTCCTGGAGAGAGTGACTCCTGTGCCCACCAAAGTCACTGTGAGCTTGAGAGTTACCTGGGACAGAGAGCACTGAGCTGTTACTGACACCTGCCAGCAGCTCTGAAGGAGTTCTGTGCATTGGTTTGGTACCAACTTCTCCTTACCCAGCCTGAGTGAGCTCTGAGGAGGTGACAGGTGACACCCCTTGGAGAAGGTGGCTCCCCTTGAGAAGATGACAGGTGACACCCCTTGGACACAGTGACAAGTGACCCCACTGTCTCAGCCCCCCACCCAAGGCCCTACCTGCCTGTTCCCCAGCCAGCACAAGGCTTCTCTCAGCTGCCTCCCGTAGCTTTGCTGACCTTGGGGTTTTTCCATCTGCTTAGTTTCCATTTCTGGAAAAGGGCTGGTTTCTCCCCTCACAAGTTTGGTTAAATTCTCTTCTGGATTTTTCGTTTTGATTCTGTTTCAGAGAGTTTGTCTACTCCAGGAAAACAGTCACAAGTTCTGGGTTAGGATTTTGGTTGCAGAATAATTTGAGTTAATATTAAATTTGAATGCTTAAAACTCTTGAGTGCCTGCATTTTTGTTAGCTTAATTGAACCTGTGTAAATATAATTCAGATGTGATTACAATAAGAAAAATATGCTTTGCCATCTTTCAGAATGAGAATTTTCTTCAACAGCCACTTTTTGGGAGTTGCTGGAGGAGAATCTTTGATCCACATTTGCTGATAGTAGCGTGAGCAGAGGGGAAGCTGTGCCGAGGAGGAGAGCTTTGTCAGCTCGTGGATCCCAGCGAGTGTTCCCAACCTTTGTCACTCTGTAAAGCTTTAACCTCGTCATGAAAGTTCCCGATAGCGGCTGGGAGGATCACGCTGCAGCCAATCCCACGGGCTCGGCGTTTGTAGCCTCAGTTAAATAAGCAAGAATTGATATTTTGGCCTTCTCTTCTGAAGAGCCGCTGGCCAGGATGGAGCAGTTTTGCTCCTGGTGTGCAGCAGAATCCATTTCCCAGAAGCTGATGTAAATGAGGGACTTTTGAACCTCTGCAGTCCATGGCGTTTTGCTGTTGAGTGAGAGCAGGGCTGGGTTCAATCCATCCAGTGTTTCTAGCATGAGGAGAAGTGTCCCATGCTCTGTTCCAGGTGTGTGTCCCAACCATTGTGTTCATGATCCATTCATCATTTGATCAGAGTTCCAATCACCTCCATAAGTGCAGTAATCACCCCAAGGTGTTTCAGTTTCACTCTATCACACTTATTCCTTCAAATTACTTTAAACATGAGCTCAGTGCYACCATCAGAGATGTGAGGCAGAGTTTATTTTTAGAAAAGAATGAATCATCTGGATGTGTCTTGTCTCTGCTTTGTTAAAAAGTAAATTCAAGGAATTGGGACCTCCTGGCTCTGGGTCTGTGAGCAGGATGATGCTGCCCCAGGAGTGGTGAAAAGCTGAGCAGAATTGAGTTTGGAACTGCTGAACTGCAGTGACRGAGCCTGTGGATACAGCAAGTTTTCCTTCTCAGGTTGTTTTGTTGGGGAGCAACTACTCTGAAATCTGCAAAGGGAAATGCTCSTGTGTCCTTTCACCCTGAACTTTTTCCAGTTTCCAGCTCTGCTCCTGGGCAAAGATTAATGGGAGGGGAAGACTGTTGCTGTGTGAATTAAATCAGTTGTGCGTGGGGGGTTTGAATCCCAGAGCTTTGTAAAAATGGTGGTCTTTGTTCTGCTTCTCTCATGGTTGTCTTGAGCYTCCCCAGTGTTGGGAGGCTTCTTGTTACCAAACTGGGGCTTGTCCTTGCAGCAAATAGCTCTGGCACGAGGTGTGACCTTGGCAGAGGAATTATCTCTAAAGCTATTGCAACTGCTTCCTTATCCTTGTGCTGGATGTTTGAGGCCTGCTAGTGAGCCACTCCTTAACTTCAGGATGCAGGAGCCTGGCCTCTGAAATATCCACCTCTCTTATCGGTGTGTTTGTGGATATGAGCTGCATTAATGGCTTTCACCTTTTAAAGTCCAGCAAATTGCAGCAGTCAAGCAGAGCATCGTTCAGTGGCTGGAGGAACTGTTTCAGTTGCTTGTGGGGTGTTGGGATATCTTGGGGGGAGAAATTTTGCAAAAGGGTAGTTTTTATACATTACCCTGTAAATCTAGTTGTTGTTTCACTATGCAAAAAGAGCAAAAGCTGTGTTTTCCTCTGTGCTGCTGCTGGATTCTTGCATTGCTCACCCAAATGCCTTTGAGCAGCCTTGGGACAGGGCTCCATCTTGTGCTGTGGGAATGAGTGTTTCTCTGTGTCAGGCTGGGATCCTGCAGTTCTTGGCTCATTTGTAACCCCCTCATTATAATTGTGGTCCTTGTTGCCCAGACCCAAAGTGAGAAGATCCCATTCTCTCCCCAGCAGGCTGAGATGGTATGTAAGTTTGTCTTGGCATTTCAAAACCTTTCATCTCCTTGGTTACAAGTTTAAGGAAATCATTGGTGTCTGTTGATGTGTGTGAGGTTTCTGGGGCAATGGGGTAGGGACTCAGGTAAGTTCAGGAGGAATCCTGGCACAGCACAGGCCATGCTTGGTCAGTACAGATATCACTGATTCCGTAAGTTATACAGTTTCTTCTCCTTGACATATGTTTTTTTACCTTCCTTTCTAGGAAGGGGTCTGGAGGAGGGAAAATTTCCCTTTCTGGTGAAAGGGGACTGGAGCATTATGACAGTCAAGTCTTTAAAAGCTTATGAGTTGCCAGAGTCCTTGCCGAGTAGCCGCTGCCTCCGCTGATGTTGTCGGATGTCAATAAAGAGAGGTTGAAGGCAACACTTCTAATGGAGGTAGAAACGAAATACTTGGAAAATACCAAGGATTTTCCTGTTTTCATTCATAAAAAAAAATCACATAGGTGCTTAATAGCTGGGTAGACACTTGAGATGTGGAACTCTAGAGACAATCACTAAATTCACCTTTATTGTTTGCCTTGACTTCTGAGGCTTCTCTGGGTGGCTCTGTCTTACCAAAATGTTCTGATCTCTTCAGCAGGTAACATCCAAAGGTGCTGGCTTGAACCCCAACGCAAAGGTGTGGCAAGAAGTGCCCCAGGGCAGTGCTGAGGCCGTGCCCCCCACCAATGGCACCGAGCACACGTGGCAGGAGACGGCGGCG